AGCATGAATAGTATGATATTCAAATGCTCTCACAAAACCTCTTTTAAACCCTCACTTGTGTTTAATATTTTGTGAATGAATCAATAAAAAGACGCAAGACGACATATATATAGTCTAGGGATAATAAAGACCTAAAGCATGAGAATAGAACACGTGTCCAAGAAGAAATCGCAAACCTGCAAACAGCGAAAAATCCGAGAATGGATACTCCTCAAAACCCTTACTGTTTCTCTCGTCTTTGTGCGTGTGTTTTCTCAGCTGAAACTTGGCTTACTTGGTGGCTTGTTTACCACAAGATATTACCTCAAAAGCTTCCAAGAGAAACCACATAAATAAGCCTCAAAGAGGACTTACAAACTTAGTAAAATGACTTGAAATGGACCAAATTATTGGACCCAAAGTAACACTCATTTTACTACCACTTGGGCTGGACCCATAACATCTCGCTAGCACCCACTTATCCTTGTCTTCTAATTGTTATTGTCCGCCATTAATGAACAAGTTGAAAGGAAAATTTGATGGTTTTTTTTTATTATTGTTAGTTATGGGATAATGGACGTCAGGTGAGTACTAGATGACTTGAAACAAATTACTGTACCAAAGTGGCAAGAGTTATGGCAAACAATGAAGCTTAACAATGGAGTTTAAGCTCTGATTTTCATAAACAAACTCTGCAATAAAAAATTAATATAAAAAAAAGAGACTTGTCTTCTTATCTCTTGATCAAAAAATTTCTCCCAAATTTCACATTTTCCCAATTTTTATTTTTTTGGAAAATTTTCTGGAATTATAAAAATCTGGGTAATTGAATTTCCATATTTTAGCTACTGGGTATTGATTAAAACAAGTATTTAGGATTTGGGTTATTGAGAATTCAATAAAAAATGACTTCAAAGTCAGGCATTAATTATTTTGGTCAGATTTTTATTTTTCCTTGTTTTTAATTGTAAGTAACCTGTTGTTGAAGGTAAAAGGGGGGATGGCCTACTCCAGTACTCTAAGTGTAACATTGTAAACTTCAGTACCTTGCCTGCAACTTTTGGGTAAAGTTTGGTACCTGATTATGGTGTTTACTCCTGCAATTTGATTTGTGTTTTACATGTCAATGTTATTTGTTTTGCTATGCTTTTTTTTTTCCTCCCTCTTTTTTTGACTAAGCGAGGACTAGAAGACATAAATAGATATTGGTGGTGTCACAGGCCATAGCAGGCAACTCGTTACTCTAGTTAACTCATGTGCAGAATGTTTATTTTTTTCCCTTACACATGCTATATAAGCTTCTTGTCATGTTTACAAAATTGTTCAGATTCAAATTTTTATGACTTCGAGCAATTTTTTCATGATGTAGATCTTTCAAAGCATCTCAAAGAGTTTTAATTTTCTTTTTAGGAGGACACAATCTTCTGATTCTTGCACATGATCTGGGCCATTACATACAACTTGGAACGACCATTGATGATGCAATTGGTGAAGCATACGACAAGACAGCAAAGTGGCTTGGCCTTGATATGAGGAGGAGTGGTGGTCCTGCTATAGAGGATCTTGCCCGAGAGGGTGATCCTGACTCTATAAGATTCAAAGTTCGCTTCTTTGATTTTCTTAAACATTTTCCTAGTCACTTCTGTACAATGTATACTTTAGGTTATCCATAAACCATATTGTTGGGTTGTATTCATCACCGATTCTTGTTTAACTTATTTATTTATTTATATTATCAGACTCCAATGCTACATCACAAGGATTGCAACTTTTCCTATGCTGGTCTGAAAACTCAAGTGAAGCTGGCAATTGCATCAAAAAACATGTAAGTGTCTGCACCTGCTAGGGACAAGGTCGTTCACATCTTGACCTTCCAAGACTCTCCCTATTGAGAACCAAATTGGGTGTTGTTATCTATTGTATGTATCTCTAGTGCTTTAGAGCATGTCTTCACCTTGAATGGATTTCAAGTGTGACTGCGTGAGGTTCCTGCACCGTGTTGCTAAAGGGGCGGTAGAGGTGTATGTGGTGCCAATGGAAAATTGGAAATTTACTGCCATATCACAGTTGCTGTTGCTCATTAAAGTTGCTGTTGCTCATTCTCCTTTAATTCTTGTTTAAGTTTGCTTCAGTTTTGGCTAGATCATTTTCTTGGTGTTGCTCGTAATATTAATGCTCAATAGCTACTTGACTAATAATAAACTTGATCTTCCGTTGCTCATGAGTCTTGGGCTGTGTGCAGTGATGCGGAAATTCCCCTTTCCTTAGCAAGTAGCCTTGATAGACGCTCTAGGGCTGACATTGCTGCCTCTTTTCAGGTTACTACCATGTAGCAAACATCTATTTCTGTTTTTCTATCTTGGTGTATCTCTCTCCCTACGTAAAGAGGCTCTTGGTGTAGTATTTTTTCATTTGCTGATGCTCTTGGGGAAATGCTTTATGCAGCGAGTTGCAGTGCTACATTTGGAGGAAAGATGTGAAGGAGCTATAGAATGGGCATTGAAAATGGAGCCATCAATTAAATACTTTGTAATTAGTCAATAGTTATTCTATAACTTGCTACTGAAATCTATGCTTTTGATTCTCATCAGAGATATTATGCAGGTTGTCTCAGGTGGTGTAGCGTCAAATCAATATGTGAGAGCAAGACTTGATCAGATTGCCAAGAATATAGGCCTGCAGCTTGTTTGCCCCCCACCCAGCCTTTGTACTGACAATGGTAAGATACTCTAGCTGTCTCACATTATAATTCACCTCTAATCTATTCCTTAACAATGTAAAGATGAACGAAACTATAAGATCCAGACAGGTTGAATAATTTAAGACTGATTTTCCCTCCTTGAGTCTGTAAGATTAACCCAATTACTTCAAAAGGTGTCATGGTTGCTTGGACTGGCATTGAGCACTTTCAGATGGGAAGATTTGATCCACCACCACCTGCCGATGAACCTGAAGATACAGTGGTATGTCTGTGATCCTGTATGTATCATAATAAAAGCTTCTTACTGTTGTCCCTACGATTGTTTTTGATTGAAAGGAAAATCATATTCCATGAAATCTGGTTTGTAAAGTTGTAATGTTCTTATGCTTTTTAAAAGTTTTCTGAAAGGTGGAAATTGTTCTTCTTGTCTAAGAAAGGAATGCCACATCTTCTTCCTTATCCCTCACCTTCCTTCTCTCCTCTCCTCCATCCAGGCATCCACTCCCTCCTCTTTCTCCTTTTCTTTCTAACTCTTTAGCAATGAACTAAGGAAGGAAAAGAAGTTTGAAACCTGATTTTCATTTGAATATAGAATTCACTTTAAATAATGGTTTTCTTGGAACTAAACACAGCCTATTTATATGCCTTGTTTTACTGCTTACTGCAAAGTCACTTTCTGAACTAACAGTTAGCTGGATATAATGAAAAGGATTTTGACCCTGCTTACACCTTTGCTTGGTATTGCAGTATGATCTCCGACCTAGATGGCCGCTGGGGGAGGAATATGCTGAGGGAAAAAGTGAGGCACGCTCCATGAGAAAAGCCAGGATGCATCCATCTCTCACATCTCTCATCCAAGGCTCAGCCAAACAACTCTTGTAGCATCGCATGATCTCCCAGTTTCTTCATTATGGTAAGTAGCGAAGCTTTTGAGGCATCTGATGCTGCTGGGTTTCCATTAGGTTGCAAGAATGCTGTGCTACGCTTATCTGCAGGAGTCATCCCTAACCATTCAGTCTAAGAGTTGACAACTGTTCATATTACAGCATTAGAACTGTAGAACTTCATCACTCATATTTGTTGTATGTACTGATTTTTTTTGCTTATAAGTGAAATCCAATTTTCAAGGGCAATGATAGTTCTAAAGATTCTTTTATTTTGTTTTACCCTGCAACCTTGAAGCCATCTTTTCTTAAATTTGAAGCTCCTAGCAATAGGGCATAGGCAGCTTAACACTCCATTCGGAAACAGTAGTTTGAAGGTGAGCAAACCTTCGAGGAAAGCTACTTGCTCATTTATTTACTTATAAGTCAAGCAGCTAACACTATCAATTTATCACTAGACCATAGGTCACACACTAATCACATTTTAATCACACTGCTTTACTAACAATAGTCCTAGGAATCCATACAGGCTACAGCAAATGATTCCCAGCCTTCCAAACACGGTATATCATATCGGTAAAGGCAGCAATACAGCATTGTGTCCAAATCTTTGACTTCGAACAAGTTCTGCTCCAAACCTTCCTCATTGAATACACACTGTCCCGTTCTTTGCATCTAATCCACATCCAGCTATGATTTGACTTGACTTGCTAGTCAAATTTGTGCGGATGAGCAAATAATATAACCGATTATACGTTGCAACGTACAACTAGTTGTATGATTAAAATTGCCTACCTTATACTCGTAGCATCGTATGGGTTTTGTGGTTCTCATAATAAAGTGATGTACATCGAAAAATCACCCCTTTAAAATTATATAGTTCTAGTATAAATTTACTTTCATCATTAATATTATATGTAACCTTAATGAAAAATTAGATTATGCTAGGAATATTTTTTAATCAAATTGTCCCTTTACAAAAAATGCTACAGTATCAAGAAAGTCTTAACCTAGTGGTAAATAAATCATAAATTCAAAACTTCAAATCCTCTTTCCATTTGTATTTGTATGGATTTATGTTGTTATGACTCATTTAGCCAAAAAAAAAAAAAAAAAAAAAAACAATCCGTACTGCAGTTGTATACTTTATGATTGGTACTCCGTAATGTGACACTGACACAATAAGGTCCACTTATTTTCTACTATATCATACTACCTCCGTTTTTATTTAGTTGACACCATTTTATTATCACGCTTGCCAATACACTATTTTAATGATTGATATTTTTAATTCCCGACATTGTAAAATTATAAAAAGTGGATATTAATAAATATACATTGAGACGATTCAAATAAGATTTTGTGAATAGTATATTTTGTGAAAATGTATTTTGTGAATGGTGAAAAGGTTAAATGGTGTCAACTAAAAAGAAATTGAAGAAGTATTACCTTATAAAAATTATTTTTAATATTTCTCAAAAATATCCGAATTTCTAGGGGAAAAAAAAGTATTTTTTGGTAAGCAAAATAATAGGAGTTGATTTGGCGCGAGATAAACAAAGTGGAGGGAGAGAGAGGAGGAATCGAAAATCGAAAATGGAGGTGATGAGAATGGCGATTTCAGGAACACAAAGAGGGAAACTTATATCAGCAGGCTACACTTCTCTCTCCTCTCTTTCTTCTGTCTCTCCTCTTCTTCTTGCTCGAGGTTTCTTTCTCCCTCTTTCGTTCTATGCTTTACACTCCTAATTCAATATTTTTATTGATTTTAATTTCTGTAATTTCGATCAATTTCTGTAGTTTACTAAGATATTAGGGTTTGCTTGCATAATTTGATAGCTGTTGTTGATTACTTTTTTTTTTTTTTTTTTTTTTAATTTTCCTGTTTTTTGGGCACATCTTCCAACTGTTCGATGAAATGTCTAGGTGAATCCCTCTCAATCCTTTTGCTTTCTATATAATCTTCCTTTTTTTCCTTGTCTTTTTATATCAATCAGCAATTATATGTCAAACTGCACTTTCAAAGTTTCAAGTTAAAATGCTACATTCTATTTCTAGCAGATTTAAATATTTCGGAAGTTGAAGCTCTTGAGATATTGAAGGCTGCATCACATAGCGGCAGATTAGACACATCAGGTGGAAACCATGCTATTCTCACTGGTAATTCTTAAATTCTTTGAGCTTAAATCTATCTAAAGGTCGTTAGCATGGAATCTGTTAGTAGCATGACTGGCATCAATGCTTATATCATTCCACATTCAAGTGAGAAGGGTTCCATTTTATTACGATGTTCAAAGCTTCAAATATCTATGAATAAAGCTAACATTCAGAAATGGATTTAGAAATCATAACAGTTGTCTATGTACATTGCACATTGGTTGGAATCAAGCCAACCATTAGAAGTAACTAGTTAATTAGTTTCACTTATGCTCTTCATGTAACTTTAATGCTAATATAGTTTAATGACGTACTATTCAAGTCCTCAAAATAGAGAGATGTTTGAAAATTTGAAATGAACTGGTTTCAGCCTAATCTTCTTATACTTTGTTTCCTTACGGTTTATATGCTGGTTGTGGACTTTTTGGTATTCTCAAACTTGAGGTATCAAGCCATTGTTTAGTAACATATTGCAAGGGATCTTATTTACTTGACTCTATTTCTTTTTTTTATTATTAACCTAATTTCTTTTGTACCTGAGAAAACAGATGGGATGAAGTAATTGTTTAGTTGCAACTAATATGCCCCCCTTTTCTTATGGATATTGACGCAAATCATCTTATGGATATTGACGCAAATCATCTTAGTTTCAACCATCATGTCTAAGGGTGTGCTCTCCTCAACTTATTTTGACTTACTAGACAAAAATAAGCTCAAATAATATAAATTAAGATAAGGTTAGACAAAATAAGTCTAATAAGCTCATAAACACTCACAAGTTTAGACAAAATAAATTTGATAGTCGAAATAAGTTGAAGAGAACACACTCTTTGGCCCTTTTTGGTTGAAGAAAATTTGGCTGGAAAAGAAAAGAAAGGAAAGGGTTTTTATTATGTTCTCAATTCTCATGTATGGTTTGCAAAATGACATGACAACTCATAGGAAAGGAAGGGAAGTGGAAGGAAAGCCTCTTCACAAAATTTTCACTTTCCTTTCCTCCCAAAATTGGAGGAATTCATCTGGAAAAAAAAAATTAAAGTTGTGAATCAGATTTTCCTTCTATTCGCTTCATTTCCTTTCATTAACTAAACATTGGAAAATAAAATCTCTTTACTTAACCTTCTCTTCCTTTCTTTCCCCCTTCTTCTCTCTTCTTTTCTTTTACTAATATTGAACCACCTCCTTTAGTATTACCAAGTCACTTTGATGGGTTGGTACTTGGTAGCATGCTCTTTCTTAACCAACATTTTCAAGAACTTGGTTGAATGCCTTTCTATTGTCTTAAGATTATTTTTTTCCAGCTGTTATCAAACACTTGTCTTGGCTTACTGATTGATGCAAAAGCAGCCTCTTAAAATAATAGTCAATTTTCTAGGGTAACTTGTTTTAGGAAAAATTCTGTTGGGATAAATGGCAGATATATCAGAAATGTTAATTTGATGTTTAGAATATATTCTCCACATGGATTTTTTTTTTTTTTCAAATAATTTTTAGTTATTTTTTTAGTCTTGTGTTTTTCTCCTTGTTTTGCATGTAGTTTTTGTTGTCCTAAAACGTTCACATATTTTTGGATGGCCCAACTATGTCATGGAGGAGTATCATGCCATTTTGTACGATGTTCTGGCTGTCTAAGAAACAGTTTTATTTTTTTCTTTCTATGTGAACACAATGCTAGAAATTTCAGCAATTTATGTGATGTTCACTTCCATAATTTGCCACTTCTCTATTTTTCACTGTATGTGCGGAGATGTTTAAAAATGATTTTTAATGTCTGTCATAGGCGCTCAAAATGCTTGGGAAATGTTTGAGGACTCTTGTATACGGATAACTACATCTTCTGCTGATGTTGATGACATCCTTGGTGGTGGTATAAGCTGCAAACAAGTTACTGAGATAGGTGTGCCCTCTGGTTTTTGTGTGAATAGAATTGCTGACACAAACCACCTTTTCTAAGTACTACAATTTTTTTTTCCCCCTCTTGTATGTTACTACAGTAGTAGATGATTAACATGATTTGTATTGCTGAAATAACTACTTTTCTGGAATACAGGTGGTATACCTGGCATTGGCAAAACACAATTTGGGTAAGGAGCCAATTTTTTTTTATTAACAGTCTCCTTGGTCCTTAGTTTTGTTATGCATCACTATTGATGATTTATATCTCAGGATTCAACTTGCAGTCAATGTCCAAATTCCAGCTGACTTTGGTGGTCTTGGGGGAAAAGCAGTTTATGTAGGTGAGTCACTGCTACACTGCTTTCCCTGGTTATATATGCTTGAATCTAAGCTGTGTAGATGCATGTTTAGATACAGAGGGAAGCTTCATGGTGGAGCGTGCTTTGCAGATTGCTCAAGGATGTGTTGACGACATGGAGAATGATAATTGCTTTCGGCAAAGAAATATCCGAGCTGTTAAAGACAAATTGCTTCCCAAAGATTTCTTGGCTAACATATTTCACTTTAGGATCTGCAGTTACACTGAGCTAATTGCTATGATAAATCATCTGGATAAATGGGTCTCAGAGCATAGAAATGTGGGTACCGAATTGATGCACAGGAAATTAAGTACATTGATTTTTGAGTATCTCTTTATTATTATACTCCTCATTTTTTTAAGTCATTGATCAACTTTAGTGCAATATTCAAATATTTTGTCACATTATCCTAATCCCTCATGATTAAGAATATAATGTATTTTCTTTAATGGCGGGACATGAAATTATTAAAGTCCCTTTATTATATTTGAATCTTTTCTATATCTCTCAATTAATATAATGGACATACGAAAATAGCGGTTTGCTATTATGCTCTGTGTGTATCGCAAAATTATAATTGCTCTAGCAATTGTTTTTTCCTGCCCTCTTTACTAATCAAATATTGCAAATAGTCGCAAGCAACAATATGTCGTTCATGTTATTAGGTGTATGATTGACTTAACTTTGTAGCTATATTTCTTTCAGGTGAAACTAGTTGTAATTGATAGTGTTACATTTTATTTCCGTCAAGATTTTGAGGACATGGCCCAAAGGACTCGGATTCTTGGTGAAATGGCGCTGAAGTTGATGAAGCTTGCACAGAAGTTCAATTTAGCGGTAAGTGAAAGTTTCACTCTTGAATGTTTGTATTAGGATAGCGGCATACACCCTTCCCACATTAAGGTGTGCTTGGGCAGAAGAAACAGATAAAACAGTCTACTTGACGATAGCTGCATAAACTGAGATTAAAACATGAATTTGACTCTGGAACCTTTTTTTATTGTCAGGACTCAGAAGTGTACTACTAGATCCAAACCCATGTCCATTTAGTAGGTTTTTATCGCCTACATCCTGCAATTATTCAGAAATCAAGAGTTCTGATTGTATACGTAGAGTGATTGACAGAATTTGTGTTTAAAATAATTGGGTCTTCCAAGATACAATGAGTGGGTCTTCCAAGATACAATAGATTGAACAATTGAACTATGTAGTGTGCAATTGTGCATAGCAGATTAGCAGCTTTTAAAGTCATGAATCAACCAAACCTGGTTCCCCACCCTGTTCTGAATGGAAATAATCTGGATCTTATTGGCTGTTTATTTATGTACCTTCAGGTGGTTCTATTAAATCAAGCGGCGACCAAGTGCTCTGAAGGTTCATATCAACTAACACTAGCACTAGGTAATACTAACCATTTCTGATCTTTTTGCCTGTTGAATTCCTGGCTTTCCCTATTGTTTCCTTGTAGAATGCACTATTGCTTTGATTTTCAAAGTGATTGATCTTGTCGAGCAGGTGACAGTTGGTCTCACGCAAGTACAAACAGGGTCATCTTATACTGGAAAGGGGATGAGCGTTGTGCTTATATTGATAAGTCGACCTCTCTTCCATCTGCCTATGCACCATATGCTATTACGACCAAAGGAATCCGAAACTCCAGTAAAACTTGTAAAAGAACCAAAATGATGTGAAGTTTTTTCTGTTCAGTTGGTTTCATCAAGCTGCACAGCTTGTATGTTTATCGGGTTGATTTTGCTCTTGAATTTTTCCTGGCTATGCGTGTTTTTCTGCTCTAGTTGCTTATTACAGTACATTGAAGACTGCATTCAAGAAGAAAAAATAGATGAATGGTGAGTCTCAATCTATCTTGGAGATTTGTGTTCTTTTACATATTTCAATTATATAAACGGTTGATCAATGATAAGTAAAATTATTAAGAAAAGAAAAGAACATACAGGCTACAGCCATTTGAAACACACATCTTTTTAATCTAAACCAATCACCTCTAAAAGAAAGGTAATGTTCTTCATAGTTGCGGCTTATCAATGGATGAATATGGTATTCGTGACTAAAAATGTGATAAATCTCTCTTTAACTAAATTTTTAAAACATTTCTAGACCATCCCTTAAGAATTAATAAAATTATTTTACCTTTTATTAGATCTGAACATGAACATCAATTTCTTTCTATTGTCCTATTCAGCTAGTCAGTAGTCATCTAAAGAATCAAATTAAGTCCTATAACTTGGTATACATTACGAGTAGTATTATTCGATTTAAGGAATTGATTTGTTAATATAAGTCAATTGCTGGTAACCCAATTTTTTCTTCTTGATGTTGGTTGATTTGCTTAAAATTTATTCGTTTACTTAATCTAATCTCTTTATTAAGATACATGTCAATAGAAAATGTTGCAAACATAGAATAAATCGAAAAATTATACCGTATAAAATTCTAGATTGGAAGGTCATGTTTGGCAACTGTGGAGGCATTCTCTTCTCTTAATTATATTATCGGTCAATAATTACGAATGCTAAAACAACTTATTAATAAAACACTAGTTGCTGCATACTTGCATACCCATACAAAAAGTTGCATTTCCCAACACTATCTACTGAGCTAGTAAGTTGTTTAGAGTAGTGCGACTCGCCCACAACGCCAAAAGCCATTATGCAAGTTAACCCATCTTTACCATTAATTTAGTAATTAATTAGCTATTTTTTAATCAAACCTAGAGCTTGAAATTAAGGCCTTGTTTGGTTCACCTTATTTTTACTGATCTGGTCTGATTTGATCTGATCTGATCTGGTCTGATCTGATCTGATTGTCTGATTTGACCAAACTTTGACCTTAAGTGTACGATAATCTATTAGGAAAAAATATATCAAGTGAGATCTTATTAGATTCGTAATAATGTGTAGTTTATTAATATGTAATTTTCACAAATTTTTTCATTACGAAATTAAGAATATTTAGCGATAAAAAATCGCACATAAAACGTTGTTCTGATCTGAACTTATTTTTTCTGATCTGATCTGATCTGAACTTATTTTTTCTGAAATAAGTAAAAATAAGTTAAACTAAACAAGGCCTTATTACACTCTAGGAACCTTCATGTTCAAGCTCAACTACTCTTTGTAGATACCCAAGTAATAGAGTGGCAAAATATCATACTTCCTCTATTACTCTGTATTAGTTATAAGTTTATATCGTGTTAACTTTTACACTATTGACGTGCGCTTAATTAAAATTACATTTATGCATTAATATACATGAAAATCGAATTGTTACATTTGGAGATTTTGTTACATTCGTCCGAAATGAAGATTCATGTAATCCACTTAATTTTCTTTCCTTCCATTTAATTTTAATCACTAAAATCCATAAGTGACTTATGAAATGATCTCATCATCATCATCTATTCATATGTTTAAAAATAGAATATATTTCCATCAAATTTCCCAAAAATACAAAAATTCCACCAACCCACCAATAAAACCAGTCCTGATCATCTCTCCCTTACATCAAACGGCCAACAACCCCCCTTTTTTTTTCAAAATTTGTAAAAGTTGTTGCCCAATTTTCTCTCTCCTCCCTCTTATATTTCTACTCACTAATCCCCACCAAAACCTTACTTTCGTTCTCTACATTTCCAACAATGGCGTCCTCTCTTTCTCTCTCCCAAGCCATCTCCGCCGGCCGTACTTCCACCTCTCGCAACCCTTCAACACCCACAAACCGTCTTCCTTCTTCACTTTCTCTCTCCTCCTCCTCTTCTTCTTCTTCTTTCCTCAAATCATCTTCTTTCTCTCTTAAAACCTCCCGGCGTGTGGCCCCACGCGCCACCGTACGCGCCTCGGCGGTGGAATCCCTCGACAAGTCTGGCACTACTGAAGATACGTTGATCGATAAATCAGTGAATACGATCCGGTTTTTGGCGATTGATGCTGTCGAAAAGGCGAATTCGGGTCACCCTGGTTTGCCCATGGGTTGTGCTCCGATGGGTCACATTTTGTACGATGAAGTTATGCGGTATAATCCGAAGAACCCTTATTGGTTTAACCGTGATCGCTTTGTTTTGTCCGCCGGTCATGGGTGTATGCTCCAGTATGCTCTCCTTCACTTGGCTGGTTATGACAGTGTCACTGTAATTTTCTCTCTCTTCTCTTTCTTTCTTTTTGTTGATTTCGATTGTTTGCTTGATAATTTGAAATGGGGTTTGGTTGTTTTGATCTGGGTATCTTTCATTAGTTTGGAATGTTGTGATCTTGGTGATGTTGATTTCTGATTTTGGTAGTATTATTATCAGTTGCTTTGAAATTCTTTGGTTGACTTAATTTTATTGATGCTGACTTGGGTTTATATATATTTTGTTTTTATTGATATAATTTGTATGATAATTTGTGGTTGTGATAATTTGCATGATGTACATGTCTAGTGATTATGTGGTTAGTAGATTGTAGGGTTTTTGACTGCTTGTTTCGGTGTCAAATTTATGTATTATTTTAGGAACGGTGTCAAATTTATAGTAATATTCAAGAATCAACATATTTGCATTAGATGTGACAATTAGAAGATTGTAGCTAGAAGTGCAAAAGATGATTAAGGAAAACTGGATAATCAGTGCATCTAGCTTCTGGTCGTGCGCTTGGGTGCACCTAGCTCTAGCCAGACTCCAGGGATACCTAAGGCTATTTTGTTGCTCATTCCCAGCTATCCCTATTGTGCAAGAAAATGGCATTGACTTCGGCTCACAATCAATTAGGAGCTATATACTTTGACTTTTACTAAGATGCCTTGAGTTTTAAATTTGGCATTTTCTCATGGAGTGGTATCTAATTTACTTTTGATGGTGCTTGCTTTTTCTTATGTTCACTTTCTGGTCAGCTATATTTCCTGTTTAGCTAGATGGCATTGCATTCTTATCTGACTAAAAAGCTCACTTTATGTCATTGGAATTATCTTATATCAGGAAGAAGATTTGAAGAACTTCCGCCAGTGGGAAAGCAGGACTCCTGGTCATCCTGAGAATTTCGAGACTCCCGGAATTGAAGTCACCACTGGTTGGGACTTGTGATTAAACTTTAAACACAGTCTTTCACTGTTGTAACGAAAATGTATTATGTGTTTTGTATTTCTAATCATGTCCTCCATGATTTTGCAGGACCCCTTGGTCAGGGTATTGCCAATGCTGTTGGGCTGGCACTTGCAGAGAAGCACTTGGCTGCTCGGTTTAACAAGCCTGATATGGAGATCGTTGATCACTACACGTAGGTTTCCTCTATCCTACCTATGCTTTAAATAAGCTGGCTGTGTTTCTCATCCTAACATGCCTTTTCCCTTTGGGTCTTTTAGGTATGCAATTCTCGGAGATGGTTGCCAAATGGAAGGTGTTTCTCAGGAAGCCTGTTCCCTAGCAGGGCATTGGGGACTTGGAAAGCTTATTGCATTCTATGATGACAACCATATATCTATTGATGGTAGCACTGATATTGCATTCACTGAGGATGTTGACAAACGGTTTGAGGCTCTTGGATGGCATGTGATTTGGGTCAAGAATGGTAACAATGGCTACGATGAAATTCGCGCTGCAATCAGAGAGGCTAAGGCTGTTAAGGACAAGCCGACCTTAATCAAGGTGCATATCATCACTTCAGTGTTGGGCTGTCATATAACTTTGTTAATATTAAAGTTTCTATGTTTCCTGATCTTTATTGCATGGATGAGTCATCTTACTGCTTTTGAGTATCAGTGGTGTAATAAAGTGGTTACCAACTTTGTGATTGTAGGTGACTACAACTATTGGTTATGGCTCTCCAAACAAGTCAAATTCATACAGTGTGCATGGTAGTGCCTTGGGAGCTAAGGAAGTGGAAGCAACAAGGAGCAACCTTGGATGGCCATATGAGCCATTCCATGTACCCGAGGATGTTAAAAAGTGAGTTATTGTGAATGATTTACTTAATTTTCTGCGTCATCTAAACAGTTAAATTACTTGGGTTGAATTCTCATCTTGATTTCCTTGCAGACATTGGAGCCGCCACACTTCTGAGGGAGCGGCCCTTGAAGCTGAGTGGAATTCTAAATTCTCTGAGTATGTGAAGAAGTACAGTGATGAAGCTGCAGAGTTGAAGTCTATCATCACTGGCGAATTACCTTCTGGCTGGGAGAAGGCACTTCCGGTTAGTATTGACCTACACAGCTACACTATATAATTTGATATCTTAACAGAATTCCAGTTCTAACTTTTAATGTTGATTCTTTTGAGGCTTTGATAATGGAATAGTACTTGAGGAACAGCTATTTCTGGATTGTATACTTTTTGATGTATGACAGTAGAATTGAAAAGCTTGTTTCTGATCTTCTACAGACATACACCCCCGAGAGCCCTGGTGATGCTACAAGAAATCTGTCTCAACAATGCTTGAACGCCCTTGTGACAGTTCTTCCAGGTTTTCTTGGTGGAAGTGCTGACCTTGCTTCCTCAAACATGACTTTGTTGAAGATGTTTGGAAATTTCCAGAAGGATACTCCTGAGGAAAGGAACCTTCGATTTGGTGTTCGGGAGCATGGAATGGGATCCATCTGCAATGGGATTGCTCTCCACAGCCCAGGCTTCATCCCCTATTGTGCAACTTTTTTTGTCTTCACAGACTACATGAGAGCTTCCATAAGGATGGCTGCCTTGTCCCAGGCTGGGGTCATCTTTGTCATGACCCATGACTCTATTGGACTTGGGGAAGACGGGCCGACTCATCAGCCCATTGAGCATTTGGCGAGTTTCCGGGCCATGCCAAATGTTTTTATGTTCCGTCCTGCAGATGGTACTGAGACAGCTGGTGCCTACAGAGTCGCAGTATTGAACAAAAAGA